TTTAGACCTGAGACAGCAGTGCAGTCAGATCTCTAGTAAGGAAAACCCCACAGTACATCTCTGAGCCCTAGAACAATCCATGGTCTAGGTCCGTAGAAGATGCTTTAAGAGGCTGATCATTTACTCAGTACCTTAGCCACTGAAAAGGACTGTCTTTATTCATTCAAGAAAATGTTATGTAGTTCCTACTATTTTTCTGGGTACAGTGTTAGGTTCATGGCTCTCTAAGTATTAATGGAGGAGAAGAAAAATCTGGAAAATAATGAGAATCTGACCTTGGAGATACACACTGCCTACTGGGAAAGGCAGATATAGAGGTATTTGATTTCAAACAAGCAGACACACTCATAGAAAAGAAAAGAAATACTATGAACTGGTAATGTAACAGAAAGGAAGGAGTGTTTGACTATGGAGGGGCGGGCAGGGAGGTGTCAAGGAGGGAAACGCACGCTGGGTGTACAAGGAGGAGTCAGAATTTTGCAAAGAATAAGGGAAGATCTTTCCAGGTGAAGGGAACAGCTCACCCGAACATGCAAGGCTTGAAGCAGCGGGCACGATGGAAGGACTGCATGTGGTGACATGTTGACCATGACATCACAGAGGTGTCATGTGAGATGAAGGGAGACGGAGACAGTGAGATGGTGGGAGGCACTGGGCAGGTGGAGAGGGAGTGGGTGCAGCATTGTGCAGGCACCATTTGCTAAAGTCTGGGGGTGAGATGGCTGGCATACTAAAAACATCGGTCTGAAACAGGTGAGCCATACGGAGCAGGGAGAGATCTGGGTGGGAAGGCCAGTGAGCAGTGAACAGTAAACAGATGAACAAAGCTTGGAGTGGGGTCAAGACATCATGGTTACTTGGTTTCAGCTTTTGGGGTATGAATGCACAATTATGTACATGTGCTTCTGTGTGTGTATGTTGAGCTTGTTTGTTTGACTTAATCTGCAAATCTGCAAAAGAGTTGCCAATCTTCAAATCCTCTTCTTCCTGCTCTCACATTTTCAAAAACATGAAGTATTTGCACAAACATAACACACTGTCAGAGTGCACTCATGTTACAAAAACTGATGACTTACTATGGTATAATCTACAATACAGGACAATGTATCAAAGTTTCTGCTGTTATCAATTAAATATGAATTCAATCTAATGCCCTGATCTTTTGGAAATGAACCAAAGTCCATTAGTCTCAGACCATAAATTTATCCATTTAAGAAATATAAAAGCACTTGCTTTTGTCGACTAGAGGTTTAAAATATTCTAAGCTGGAAGAACATTTGATAGGGTCTCTGGATTAGCTGGCAGGCTCCTTCAGGGTGTTTCTGAATAAAATCTATAGTCCTAAACAAACAGTTAGGCAGATATTGGCATTTTTCTGAAACTGAGCAATGGATATAACAGTATTCATTACTTCATCCCCCTCTACTTTTACATGTTTGAAATTTTCCATAATGAAAAATATCCTTTTAAAAATAGTACTTCTTCCTTGAACTCTACTTACCCTAATAAAATGAACACCAAAATTCAACTTATCCCTGAAGGAAAAAGCTGCAAATTTAATAGCACTGCATCTCTGTTTACCACTACAAGAGTACCATTTATTGTATATGTGTGGTATTATAAGTTCTAAATCTTTGTCTTCCTTTCATGTAGATAAAAATAGCTCTATTTTTCTTTTTTAGTAGATGAGCATTTTAAATACAGAGGACAGTCTTAGTTTACCTGTAATACCTAATTTCCCAAACTGTGAACATCTTGCACCATACTGGACCCTCACTGACAAACATAATTTCATTCTTAATCTCAGCTGTTAGTTGTTTCTGATGTCTTTGAAAGTATGAAATAAGTTTTCTGAAGAATTTTTCAACTAGCATGATTTTAATATCAATGGCTAATGTGACCCAAATCTATCTAGCATGACAGCTAAATTGCAAAACCAGGAGGAAGGTATTTCTTGTGCCAAACAACTTTTAACTACTGTCTGATGGAAACAGAAAGAAGAGAGAGTCAGAGAGAGTCAGGATCTAATTACTCAGCAATGAATGGGAGTCTTTCAGGTAATGCTCATGGAGGAAGAGATTTTTTTCCCAGCCAAGACATAGATACTTAAAAACTCATTTCTGTGCAACTAGAGAACACAAAGTTTAAACAAGTGGGCATTTTGTAGATGGCGTGTGCAGTAGGAGAGCTTTAGCATCTGGGTTTCCAGGATTCCATGTCTAAATCCAAAACTCGTGCCATGGCAGCATTTAGAATGGCTTCATAAATTACATTCATTGTCACGCTCACTCACTCAGTTGTGTCCGACTCTTTGCGACCCCATGGACTGTAGGCTGCCAGGTTGCTCTCTCCATGGGATTTCCCAGGCAAGAATACTGGAGTGGGTTTTCATGCCCTCCTCCACAGGATAAATTACACTCAGTCTTCTCTACCCATTTTGGCTCACTCTCCATTTCTACTGCATTACCATCAACCACAATAAAGAACTTGTAACTCTTTGTACAATGAATTAATAATTAAGCTTCATTCTATGTCTGGCATGCCCTAGATATTTTCTTCATCTCATTTATCCATTTTTAACCCCAAGTTTTTGAATAACTGCTCCATGCTTATCTGGCTCACTAGATAAGAAGCCAGATGTCTTGTTTCAAGAAGTCAGATGTTTTGGCTATCACTGTATGACCTTACATCTGATACTTAGTTGGCACACCACACATATTTGATGATTTATTAAATGAAAGAATGATTTTTAAAGGTCTATACTTATGAGAAAAAAAAGTCTATCCTTATCATGAAGCCTAATTTTACCACTTTTGAAAATAACTTGGCCAGCTCTGCCTCATTATAAAACTTATTTTCAATCCTTAAAAACTTAACAGTGGCATTGATAAGGGATTAACATCCAAACTATTTAAGAAATAACTCAATAGCAAAAAACAAATAATTCAATTTTTAAAAGGACAGGAACTAAAGAGACATTTTCCTAAGAATACATCCAAGTGGCCAACAGGTATATGAAAAGATGTTCAACATCATTCATCAGCAGGAAACTACAAGATAAAACCACAATGAGGTATTACCTCACACCTGTTAGAACGGCTATTACCAAAAAGTCTAGAAATAACAAGTGCTGGTGAAGATATAGAGAAAAGAGACACTTGTGCACTGTTGTGGGGAATGTAAATTGGTGCAACTACTATTGAAAACAGTATGGAGGTTTCTCAAGAAGTTAAAAACAGAACTGCCATACAATCCAGTAATTCTACTTCTGGTTATTTACCCAAAGAAAATGAAAACAGGGTATCAAAGATATATGTGTACTCACATGTTTATTGCAGCCTTAATCATAATAACCAAGATGTGGAAATAACCTAAGGGCCCCCAAACAGAAATATGAGAATGAAAATGTATATAATACATAAATAATAATAATAATATATAGAAATTATTATTCAGCCATGAGAAAAAAGAAAATGCTGCTATTGCAACAACATAGGTGGACCCTGAAGATCCTATGCTGAGCAAGACAAATCAGAAAGAGACCAATATGATATCACTTTTATATGGAATCATAAAAGAGCTGAGCTCATGAAAACAAAAAGTAAAATGGTGGTTACCAAGGACAGGAGTAGGGGAAGAAATAGGAGAGATATTTAAGGTACAAACTTGCAAATAAGACCTAGAGAACTCATGCACCTTGTGTGTGATTATAGACAACAAGATTGTATGATAAACATCACATTTACTGAGAGACTAGATCCTAATTATTCTTATCACAAAGAAGAAATAAACATATAATGATGGAGGAGTTAGCTAATGTTACAATGGCAATAGTACTGCAGTACATAAATGTATCAAAACAATAAGCTGTACACCTTAAAAAAATTAACAATGATAACATTTTTAAATGTTTCTGCCAGAACAAATTTGCATAAAATATGCAGAAGATTTTTCTCTTAAGCATTTTGCTACTCATAAAAAAAAAATATTCCTAGAAATTTCAACTAGAATGCTATTTTCTCTTCTTTCTTTTTTTTTTTAAAGCATGCTATTTTCAACCAAGGAAAATTTTACTTAACGTGGCCATTCCAGATTTAGGGGCCCTTACTTCCTGACACAAGATTAAATTCCCCATCTGTGAAAAAAAATGTAACTAAATATATGTTTCTCATGCAGTGTGATTTGTCACATGGCTCCATGGATTCATGACATGACATGAAATACAAAACTGGGCCTGATCCAACGCAATAAAAACCAAAAGGCTAACTCCCCTCCCCTCTGGTTGACGCGTTATCACCATGGGATTTTCAGCAAGAAACATCTATGTTCGGTTACTTTCTAAAGAACAGAGCACATGCAATAACTCATTTTTGAAAAGCAGCTTTTTTTAAAGATAATGTTATACCTGTCTCTCAAGATGGGTTTAAGAAAAATGGCTCAGAGACAGCGGTCATTATTTCATTTTGCCCAAAGATGACTACCTTCTGATGCACAGAATTTGTCAGGTATCATTCATCTCGCTTGTCAGTCACACAGAACATAACACATTTAAGAGCAAGGAAAATATTTAAACATACTGAGAGACGGAAACTAAAACTCCAAACTTCTGAGGCCTAGAGTCCTTTATTCGTGACTTAATTTCTGTGTCAGGAAAATGGGGTAAGTTATTTTTGTTGTTGCTTAGTCTTTGGTGAGAATTTGCTGTTATTCATAAAATATTTTGTAGGCAACAGTCCAGTATCACATCATCATTTAATGCCGCTTTCAATTCAGTGCCCCTGAGTAAGCACGGAACTCAAGAGGGAGAAAGAAACATTTTAAAACAGACATGATCTTTGCTATATAAAACCGAAGCATGAAAAAGCAAGGTAACAGCCGAAAAGCAAGTTCACGTGGCATAATGTAACCTCTGTTATAAAAACAATGTGGGGTTCTTCCTGAGGTAGACACAGAAAAAGCAGGGCAGACAAACCAACCAAAAGAAAACAGCCGTTTCTTACGTGCAGTTGAAGATGAGGCTGCTCTGGCCTCTGGTTCTGATGGCATTTCTTCCTGGTTTCTTGACTCAAGGATCTTCTCCTCTTCTTGGCTGGGTGTTACAGACATACCACTTGGGTTTTCTCTACCAACTGAAATTAAGATTTGGGAAGATTTTATCCTCTCAAACCACTTGTTTCTTCTCAGAAAACCCACCATCTGCTCAGCTATGCAAGTTTAAGTTTTGCTATTGTTTCCACTTCCATGTGGAGTCAGAGCTCTTTCCTCTGCACTACATAGTAACCAGAAAAATGACTTTTTTATAGCAGTGGGCTGCCCATGAGTGGTATTCCTATTGAATCTGTGCACTTCTTTTAAATCCAACCAATAGTGTACGCCACAATATGAATCCAACGACTTATTCAAGATGCTTTTCTTATAGCTTCTAAATGGGTACACTGCCTACATCAAAAACTGACTAAAACGTTGTTCAAAAATGCTTTATGTGACTTCACTGGAAATTTAAGAATCAAAGAAGTATATATATATATATACACATACCTACAAGTGAAGAAAACATTAGCTAGTTTTCTACCTTTTATTTAGAAGCGAGTTGTTTTGGCATCTTGTTCAGAAATAGATATCCCCAACCTAGCTATGAAATTAAAAGATGCTTGCTGCTTGTTATGACAAACGTAGACAGTGTATTAAAAAACAGAGACATCACTTTGCCAACAAAGGTCCATATAGTCAAAGACACAACTGAGTGACTGATCAACAACAACAACAGATAAAAATACAGATATTATATATATTACCCTCAAGATACATATTATATTTATGTATCACTCATCTGATAGGATATACATTAAAAAAAAGTCGAGAATTTTATATCTGTCTCTACATAAAGTATAGGTAGAGCTTGTTAAGAAAAGGGAAGTTAAGTAAGAGACAGACAGACTAAGAAAATCATCTAGATTTTGATTAAGCCAAAATCCATGGGGCTAAATAGGGTAAAAATTATATCACAAACTGAATTTTGAGATAATTTAAGAACACATTAGAGTTACCCCATTAACCTTTGCTCAGGCAAATATGTTCTAAGCTTCAGTTGTTTAAACAAAGTCCTTAAAACCTTACTTCACTTTGCTAGAAAATCTGAACTTAAATATGAGGGAAACCAGTTTCAAAATACTCACATTTCTATCCCATTCTTAGAATTTTTATCCCAAATCCTATTTTAATTCAAATCCCATTAGTACTGATCTTTTTAACTCCTTTTACACTGTGAGCAGTAAAAATCAATCCAAGGAAGTTGAGAGTGTTTCTAACAGCCCCATCCCCTCTCTGTATGTGAGACATCCTTAAATAACAAAATACAGGCATGCATACACAGACACACATACACATGCACACACCCAATTTAAACAACTACAAAAGAGCTTAATGTAGCAAAAACGCTATACCTAACATGAAATATCTGAGAATTTGAGGTGTGTCTTTATTATGCCTTTTTCACTGCTTCTAGAATAACAAAAATGTAAACACAGTGAAATTATCAGTCATTGTACACACACCATGACAAAACAAATCAAAATGGAAACATTTCAGGGTAAACGTACATTTGACGACTTGTGGATAGAAGAAAACACTCCCGCTTTCAGTATAAACAACTGGTTTTGCCTGTCCATCTGACTGAAGTCCAACAAACAACCCTGGGCTCTTCACCGATTCCAGACTTACACATGCATTTTCCAAGTTCTTCTTAATTTTAAAATGACAGTCACTGTCTCCTATACCCTATAATCAAGAGAACATTATTTAATAAATATGAGCAACATTGAAGGATAGAATTTAAAACCAGTCATTTCACAAGAATATAATTTTGCTTCAAGTCCCCTTGACAAATTTAGAAGCTGTTAGCACAAGGCCCACTATGTGCCTCGCCCTGCTCCATAAGATCCGCAAACAGAGGCCAGTGATTGGCTGAGCGAGTGGACCCAGGGCTCTGCATCTCAGAGGGCCTTCACATGAATAGAGGGCAGTGTGTGCTCATTATCTCCAGAGCTGCCCACCCCTGTAAGTGAGGATGGAAAGCTGACATATGAGTGTTTTGGAAACACTCTAAAGGGGTGTTGGAAAACAGGGCAATTCTTACAAGTCCATTTACATTTAAACAGAAACCAGGGGCTTCCCTGGTGGTCCAGTGGTTAAGAATCTGCCTTGCAATACAGGAGACACAGGTTCTATCCCTGGTCCTGGGGGACTCCACAAGAACCTGAGCAACTAAACCGGTGTGCCACAACTACTGAGCTCATGCTCTAGAGCCCATGCTCTGCGACAAGAGAAACCACTGAAATGAGAAGCCGGCACACCACAATGAAGCATAGCCCCTGCTTGCTGCAACTAGAGAAAGCCCACATGCAGTAACAAAGACCCAGCACAGATAAAAATAAATACATAAATAAAATTTTAAATAAAACAAAAATAAATATAAACCAATTTTCACCAGTATAGAGTTCACATAAATGACTCAAGGCTTGTAGAGCGAAACATTCAAGAACCAGATGCCTAGGAGTAATCTATCCCTTCAGATCATCAAAATCACCTCTTTTTATGGCATTTAAAATCTAATATTAGGAAACATTTCACTTTTCATTGCTTTAAAAAGTTTTCTTATAAGATTTAGGAGTTCTGAAAAATAAGTTTTGTGAGACTGGACTGAAATATCCAATATTATCTATTATTTGTAAGTGATAACTGCATTCAGGTCTCTGCCCTCCAAAGTGAGTTTCTTTTAGGTAAGAACCAAATGTCTGTTGTCTGTTCTCTCCCATAATGCAAATATGAATTAAGCAACCTCCACAGTCTGTTCTTGTTTTGGAGACAATAAAACTCTGGCTTTGATTTGTATGGCCAATTAGAGGACACGATGACATATACAAATAAAAACACTATATGTAAGGCCAACAAGATAGAGATGAATTCCTCTGGTTTGGGGAGAGAAAAGTCACTCAACTCTGGAGAATGAAGAAACTCAATAAACGTTTGTTAGCTCTAAAAATAGTTACTGTTTTGTCTCTAATCTCATAATTTCTTCATGCAATGTCTTTCCCTCTCTTTTTGATAATGAAAAATGGGATTATTCCCTCTAAAATTCACCATTCCAAGTGATAGGCTTTAGGACACACTATGGTGGCTAAGATGGTAAAGAGTCTACCTGCAATGCAGGAGACCTGGGTTCAGTCCCTGGGTTGGGAGGAGTCCCTGGAGGAGGAAATGGCAATCCACTCCAGTATTCTTGCCTGGAGAATTCCATGGACTGGGGTCAGAAAGAATCGGACATGACTAAGCAACAAACGCTTTCACTTTCACCCACAATATGGCACCGTAGTCTACTGAATGTTTCAAGCTTGGGTGCAGGAAGGATTTTCTGACCTTCCCCCAAAGCCAGTCATAAGACCCTCATGTGGGAGAGGTGTCCTCCCAGGGCATCTTTATATCCAAGACAGAAGGTTTTTGATGAATAGGTCCTGCCCTTTCCCCAGTCCACCACGCTTCACTCATACTCTTCATCGTCGTCTAACATCTTTCCACGACTCTCTGCTTTTCATCATACTCGGCGTAAGAACACCCAGCTTCTTCACTTTGCTCTTAACAAGAGCTGTCCATAGGAAAATGTAATTAACCAGAGCCTAACCTTTTTAGGTTTTCAATCATGTCTGACTCTTTGCGACCTCATGAACTGTAGCCCACCAGGCTCCTCTGTCCATGGGATTTCCCAGGCAAGAATACTGGAGTGGGTTGCCATTTCCTTCTCCAAGGGATCTTCCTGACTCAGGGATTTAACCCTGGTCCCCTGCATTGCAAGCAGATTCTTTGCCATCTGAGCCACCAGGGATTTGCCTTTTTAGGTTTTATCAGAGCCTAACTAAGCCAGAAGGAGGGAATTATCCAGCTCCAGCCCCCTCTGGTCACCCTAGAACTGAGAAGCACTTTTACAATTCAGTCCAGAAGTGATGAAATAAAAATTCACATCTTAAGAAAAATTGAAACATAAAACTTTTTCTCTGCCTTTTGGCCTCCTCCCTCCCCTCTGCTGTGCATTGTTTATCTGCATGGTGCATTAATCAGATCTCCCCAATGGCAGAAATACACGCTCAACCATATAGATCAATGTTTCTACATCTGGCACTAGCCTCGTAACTCTTCAGAGAATAACGTTTCTTTCTCAGTCCCATAAGGTATCTTGACAACCCACACTCACCTTGTACATGCAGATTACCTTTGGTGAAATTTGTGTAAGATGCTGATATATAATTTCCCGTAAAGATAGTGATTGGTGAAGAACTGACTGATCAGAGGACTCGGGGAGATACTGGGCTGCACTTAATGGAAGTTCTCAGCTTAAATACTTATTCGTGACCTTAATGTTACTAACTGAATTACTTGCATTCTGCCTATCTTTTAAGATGGGTTTTCCAGGGGGCGCAGTGATAAAGAATCAATCTGCTGCCAATGCAGAGATACGAGAAACTTGGATTCAATCCCTGGCTTGGGAAGATCCCTACAGGAGGAAATGGCAGCCCACTCCAGCATTCTTGCCTGGAGAACCCCATGGACAGAGGTGCCTGGCGGGCTACAGTCCATAGGGTCACAAAGAGTTGAACATGACTGAGCACACACACATCATCATTTTTTGAATTATCAAATGTGTGACTAAACCTCAGATAAAATTAATGATGACTAGACAGTTTTGAATAATTAACCAAATATATAGTTTTATAAGATCAGTGATTAAAAAGCAACAAGAGGGAACTACTTTCTAAACCACAACAAATTAGTGAGACGGCTGGCCCAGAAGCTTTTGGTTACTGATAACAGGGTCTAGTTAAGTAACAGCACTGATTGTCCACCAATGAAATCCTCTCCTGACTTGGAAGTGAGCATTCCTACTGATACACAACAAAGCTGGTCCCACAAAATGCCTCCCAAAACATTGTCAAAATTAAGACCAAAAGAGAGGAGATTGTAAAATAATGTTGCCTACCATCCAGTTTTACAAGCCATTAGCACTGCAGTCTCTGACATATGGTATATCCTAAGTGAATTCAGGACAAGCCCTTGTGCTCTGGGAAAACTGAAGAAGAGCTCTTCAGATGGCTAGATATTTTCAGGAGAAATTTTTTATGAATCTGGATTTTTGCATCTTCCCATTCTTAGAGTGGGGCTTCCCAGGAGGCTCAGTGGGTAAAGAATCTGCCTGAAATACAGGAGATGCAGGAGATTCGGGTTCAATCCCTGGGTCAGGAAGATTCCCTGGAGGAGGGCATGGCAACCCACTCCAGTATTCTTGCCTGGAGAATCTCATGAACAGAGGGGCCAGAAGCCTACAGTACATAGGGTCACAAATGGTCAGACATGACTGAAGTGAGTAAGCATGCATGCATGCATACTTAGAATAGAACTAAAACCATTAACTAAGATGTCTGCTCCTCATGATCAGCAGCAAGTGTCTGCTGGGATTTGCCCTTGATTTCACGTACCCCCTTCTCCATAATCACACATACATTGACCTCCCACTTGCCTCTTTGGAACAGTTCTCAGAGCTCTCCAAGAGGCCATCTCCCAGGCTACAGTCCTCAGCTTGACTCAAATAAAATTTTCTATTTCCTTCTTAGATTGACTATTCATTAAATTTTTCATTGACAGAGACATAGATCCACTAAAAACATGACTTATCATTATTTACATAAGATGAAGTTTTTCACTGGATTAACCCACTGATCTTGCATTAAGTATACCTGGCCCAGCTCTATGTTTCATAGTTCAGTTCAGCTGCTCAGTCGTGTCCGATTCTTTGCAACCCCATGAACCGCAGCATGCCAGGCCTCCCTGTCTATCACCAACTCCCGGAGTCCACCCAAACCCATGTCCATCAAGTCGGTGATGCCATCCAACCATCTCATCCTCTGTCATCCCCTTCTCCTCCTGCCCTCAATCTTTCCCAGCATCAGGGTCTTTTCCAATGAGTCAGCTCTTTGCATCAGGTGGCCAAAGTATTGGAGTTTCAGCTACAACATCAGTCCTTTCGATGATTCCAATGTTTCATAAGCAACTTCATCAAAATATGAATAGTCTTTAACTTTCTAGTTATTTTCATGTGTAGAAATGTATTTTGAGTGAAGAGGCAACATTAGATAAAACTGAGATGAGAGAATCATGCCTACTTTCTACAAACTAAACTCTTGCCAACAAACAAGGATCCTACTGGTATGGGATGTGTCTGTGGTACACTGTCTTTGGTTTCCTGGTCACTCTTCAGCTTGTCTTTCCTACAAATCCTACACCTTTTTTCCCCTTCATATTCACGTTTAGTGACAAGTTCCACCTAGGTTGTTTTGAGGCCTGTTTCTCTACTATATATTAAAAGCCATACAATTGTTCCTAGTGAAGGCAAGCAGTTTGCATTCATGCCACCTTGAATCCCTTCTAAGCCCAAATCTATTAAAGTGATTTACTCCTACGGCATAACAATTTTATGGTAACAGAAATAGAAACATTTGTTACAGGATCAGCATCACTTGGTTTAAACATAAGTGTGTTTGCCTGTAAGAAATGTTTTCAAATATACAATGGCAGACAGATTGCAAACATTAATGCTTTTATTCAATTCAATCTCTACAATCAGCATCTGCAGAGTAGCTCCCAGGACTGAGGCATCGTCAGGTATTTAAGGTATAGTAATGTCCGCTGCATCTTCAATTCCTTTGGAGATCATAAGCATGCCTTACGCCAGCCTCTTTGTAAATCAGGGTAATTAAGATAATTGCTACCATTCTCTTTTCAAAAGTGAAGTCATTCCAGCCCAGGGATTTCTGATCAGATACAGTGAAAGTGAACAATAATGTGCCTGATTGTTATGTATCAATAATAGCTCCTAATAGCAAAAAAAAAAAAAACATGCTTTCTGAGGAAAAAGACCCACCATGGAGACAGGCTGGAACCTGGGACCCTTTTGCAGTGCTGAAATGCTTGCACCTGGACAAACATCTCCTCAAACAACAAATAGAAACAAACTATACAGGATTAAAAATAACTGCATGCATGCACAGGCCAGGGCAAATCCTGGACAAAAAATACAAAGAGACTGAGACACCCCAACTGCCATTTCTAAACAGCCCGGAGCAAAAGTAGGGGACTACACATGCCCCCTGCACACACCACCACATAAAGGGTGGGCAAATCACCTAAGCCACCCCTCCTGCCTGACCTGTGGACACACCCCCTCACCCTAGAAGGAACCAGCTCACCCACCTCAGGCAGTGAGCAAGGGCACCTGTTACTTGTTCTCACTCCCCCCGTGGCAGGGTGCTCAGTCATGTCCGACTCTGTGTGACCCCGTGGACTGTAGCCCGCCAGGTTCGTCTGTCTATGGAATGCTCCAGGCAAGAAATACTAGAGTGGGTTGCATTTCCTTCTCCACCTGCTGAAGTGGGAACCCCAATAAAGCCTTGCCTTAATTTCTTCTCTGGCCTCTAGTGAATATCTGTTAAGGAGGCCACAAACCTAATCAACATCACTACCAAAATCTCAGGAGGAGAGTTTTAGTTGGACAGCAATATTGAAGGGTCACTAGACAAGTTATGATGTAAAGAAAACACTACAATGGAAGCGGCAGAAGTAACATACACATGATGAGAGTTCTGTGCAGGCGTCTCTCTGCGAAAGTACTGACAATCACATAAAATCTACTGAGTAGATCCTGAAGATCTAATTGGCTTTTTCAATGAGTCATGAGTCAGGTAGCGCCCCACATAGCACATGGAGGGGAGACTGGGTGGGGGCTGCTGCCAAGTGAAGAGGGTTCTAAAGGTAAGGCAGGAGAGTCATAAACAAAAAAAGCTTATTTTAGATTAAATCATCTCCCTTTGGGGACAGAAGGGTCTTATTAGATGGGTTACCTCACCTTCCTTTGGGGGCTGGAAAGGGCCCACATGATAGATTACCTCACTGGAGCTGAGGTAACTCCAGAAAATCCCTAACCAACCAGCTAGGACTCCGTTTCTGGGGGAGGGTAAAACTTCAGTTGGGCTTCCCTGGGGGCTCAGTGGTAAAGAATCCACCTGCCAGTGCAAGATACACGGGTTCAATTCCTCGGTCAGGAAGGTCCCCTGGAGAAGGAAATGGCAACCCATTCCAGTATTCTTGCCTGGAGAGTCCCATGGATCCATGGGGAGGAACTTGGTGGGCTACTGTCCATGGGACCACAAAGAGTCGGACACAACTTAGCGACTAAACAACAAAACTTCAATCAGGTTAATCAAGTCCAGGTTCGGTGACACGGCCCAGCATAAGTGACTCTTGGGCCCGTGCTCTTCTTTTTAATAATACCACAATAAGGACTTTCCTGGCAGTCCAGAGGCTAAGATTCTGTGCTTCCAATCTAAGGGGCATGGGTTTGATCCCTTGTTGCAGAAATAGGATCCCACATGCCACATGGCCAAAGAAAAAATAAGAATATTCACAAATATTTTTTGAAAAAGCTTCCTGAATTGCCATGGAAAAGTAAAAGCAAATTTGAAATGAAGATAATCAAATAAAGTTCAAATTCTTGACTTTATTATTAAAATAATCATAATAACAATACCGTAATAACAATACCAAAAGGTGAAATGGGCTTCCTTGGTGGTTCAGATGGTAAAGAATATGCCTGCAATTCGGGAGATGTGGGTTCAATCCCTGGGCTGGAAAGATCCCCTGGAGATGAAAATGGCAACGCACTCCAGTATTCTTGCCTTGAGAATCCCATGGACAGAGGAGCCAGGTGGGCTATGGTCCTTGCAGTCTCAAAGTCGGGCAGGACTTTAGTGACTAACACTACTGTCTAAAAGCAAATGAAACCTCTGTTTTCTTCAAGTTATCAAAAATCTTTAAGAGATGCTACTTGAGTTTAAAACTACAATACATGATTACTGGCCTCAGTTCCAAAGTGCACAGGAAATCCTGAACCTAGCTTTTCATCCTGAGAAGTCCATGGCGGGGTGGGAGGGGTGGGGGCAGGGGGTTGGTCCTCGTGCTGGTTAGAGCACAAAACAGCCTGAGCAGAAACAATTTCAGACCCAATTCTTCACCTGAAAAGCTGTCAGCAAGGCTGGGTCTAGAAAAATTGCTGAAGAAAAACACTTTGTCTTTTGGAATCACCTCCCTGTGGTGTATCCTGACTCCAGTTTCCTCTTGGAGATCAACCCAGTTTCTCCATGCTGATACCATGAATCCTCCACAACAGGAGGTGGGTGGACCTGGTATGACTGAGCTCTGACACCAAGGCAGCTGTGGACAATCACTCAGCCAGTTCCTCTGTGTTAGGATAACACTCCCCTGTGTTAATCTGTTCATTTCTGCTCATCTTCCTATGCTCAGCAAAGCCTTCCACCAGGACTCCTTCCATTCCCTCAGCTGGTCAGAGCGCTGAGTCACCCACCTGGCAGGAGGGAGGAAAGAGAAGGAAGCCTAAGTGTTCAGAGGAGCATGGACAGAGCCAAGATTCTGCTCCACACTTGCAGAAGAGGCGTCCTCGCCTGGAGGGACAAGAGAAACACCATGCGGAGGAAGAAACGGAAGTGACAGAGAGGCCCCCGCAGACTGGAAAAGGAGAAACGGAAGAACCAAGAGAAGCCCCATCCAACCAGAGGATGAGGCAGCCACACGGAAGGTGGCTGAGCAGCAAGCTGGCCCTTTGGTTGTCGTCACAGGAAGATTTCAGGGCTGGCCCATCCCCAGTTTGGGGTGACACTTATCTGTGCCTCCATGAACTGCCTCCAGCAACCCTGAAACACATGCACATAAAGACATGTGTCATGCAGCAACACACCTTCTGTCTCCTGGTTCTGAGCAGTCCCACGAGCCCCAGAAGAAACAGGCTTGTCCATTCTGTGGATGTAGGTGATGGCAAGGAAGGCGGCTTCCTGGAGGTGACCAGGCATGATGAAATCTCACCTCCCACAGTCTGGCCACAGTAGAGCTGGTAACCATTTTCGTCTCAGTTCGTCCACTTGCCAGTTTTAAAGGCCATAAGCAGGACTCTGTCTCTCTGTGACATGGGACATGCCCACTTCACAATGCTCTTGTGAGCAGATCCAGGATGCTAATTACATGCGTGTGTACATGTGCTTTTCACTTTTGCACTGTGCACACCAGTGCAGCTCACCAGACACAGAGGGCCAATCCGCAATGAAGTCAGGGACATGGAACCATGAATGGTCTAAGTCTTCCCTCCTGTCCAACCAGAAGCTCACGCAAATGCTCCCAAACAGAGAGATGCCCCCCTGATAAGGAGAGGGGGGATAGGGAGCATCTCCAAATTTATCCAAAAGACACAGTTTAAACCAAACTCTTTCAAATGAAAATGGATGAGCAGAGTATTAGACTTTAGTCTAATACTAAAGTCTAGTATTAGTATTTAGACTTAGTAGTAGTTTAGTATTAGACTTTAGTATTTAGACTTGCTAAATGGTAACTGTATGTGCCCCTCAACCTGTCAAGAGATGTACAAAAATATAAAAGATGTGATATTAGTTGCCTTACATGCCCCCTCCAGAGTTACAAGATATTAAGGAAAAACTCCTAATATTTAGAGCATAAAGTTACTTTCTGGGACTTCCCTGGTGGACCAGTGGTTAAGACTTGGTGTTTCCAGAGCAGGGGGCCCCAGTTCAATCCCTGGTCAGAGAACAAGGATCCCACATGTCATGGGGTGCCGCCAAAAAAAAAATTACCTCCTTACTCACAGAGCAGGCTATCCACTGGTGGGAACTCAGGTTCCAAGCAAGCAGTTCAGGAAACACAGCTGAGCTGGGACTTCCCAAAGCCTTGGTTCTCAAAGTGTGGTTTGGGGCCTGACTCAACAACAGCAGCTGGATACTTGTTAGAAACACAGACACACAGGTCCTGGCGCAGTCTATCTGAGTCAGGACCCATTTTCTAACACTACTCCCTGGTGATCTGCATGCACCTTTCATTTCAGAAGCAGTGTCTGAGGGTCAGGACCCTCTCTGGTCACACTAAGAGGGCACTCACCCCCCTCCACGTATTAACACCACCAGTCAAGGGGGGCCACCACGTAGCACATCCAATTTCCAGAGTGCTCATAGGTTAAAACTAAAAAGCAAAACACTCAAGCAAGCAACACTCGTAGCAATTCTTGGCAAGTGTCTTAGACATTCGCTGAGAAAAACATGAGCAGATGCTTACGGCTCCGTCACACCGTCCGTCCTTAATCCTCAGAAACATCCGTGCATTCTTCACACTTTCAAACATGCAGATCCCAGAGCTGATTTTATGCACTCTCCAGTAGGACTTTTCAGACGGCTTTCCCACGCCCGTGCAGCTCCCATCCGGCAGGAGGCAGAGGGCCTGGCACAAGCTGGTGGCAAGCAGAACCACTGCGCTGTTGAGCAACACACCCTGCAGAGCAACCAACAGCACAGAGAGGCAGTAAGTGACACGCCTGTGTCTTGCTAGAGAAATATGGCAATAGAGCCCATTTTCTTACAAAAGCTGCAGTGATCAGGATCTTAGCAGAAGCTTGGTGGGAAAGAATGAGCAAAAAAAAAGGAAATAAAAAATGTAACTGCTCTGTAAAGCTAAACAAAACTAAAGAAGGTGGTCTGGTTGACTCATTGATTTACATTAATCATTACTCATTGAGACTGTAAGAATCAGCATCAGATGCTACAGAGATTTTAAGAAGATGCAAAACCCACAAACTCTTAAGAAGTCTCCAATCACTCTAAGTAAATAGTTTGAATACTAATACAGAGAAGAATAAAACTAGTGTTCTATAAGAGTGCTTGAATTTTGACAAGTAATCTATGGATATTAGTTAAATATATGCATGCAGGAGGGGCTTCCCAGGTGCTAGTGGTAAAGAACCCGCCTGCCAATGCAGGAGACATAAGAGATATAGGTTTGATCCCTGTGTCAGGAAGATCCCCTGGAGGAGAGCATGGCAACCCACTCCAGTATTCTTGCCTGGAGAATTTCAGGGACAGAGGAGCCTGGTGGGCTACAGTCCATAAAGTCTCGAAGAATCAGACATGCTTGAAGTGACTTGGCACTCACACACACATGCATGGAGGAATAAATGAATGAATGAAAAGAAGTATCAGATACAACTAAAGTCAAATTAAGTAATTCAGTCGCTCAGTCGTGTCCGACTCTCCGCAACCCCATGGACAGCAGCATGCCAAGTCTCCCTGTCTATCACCAACTCCCGGAGCTTGCTCAAACTCATGTCCACAAGTTGGTGATGCCATCTCATCCTCTGTCGTCCCCATTTCCTCCTGTCTTCAATCTTTCCCAGCATCAAAGGCTTTTCAAATGAGTTAGTTCTTTGATTAAGTGGCCAAAGAGCTTCAGCTTCAGCATCAGTACTTCCAATGAATATTCAGGACTGATTTCCTTTGGGATTAACTGGCTGGATCTCCTTGCAGTCCAAGGGACTCTCAAGAGTCTTCTCCAACATCACAGTTCAAAAGCATCAATTCTTCAGTGCTCAGCTTTCTTTATGATCCAACTCTCACATCCATACAAGACTCCTGGAAAAACCATAGCTCTGATTAGACAGACCTTTGTCGGCAAAGTGATTGATGTGTGTCTGCTTTTTAATATGCTGTCTAGGTTTGTCATAGCTCTTCTTCCAAGGAGCAAGTGTCTTTTAATTTCAAGGCTGCAGTCATCGTCTGCAGTGATTTTGGAGCCCAAGAAAATGAAGTCTGCCACTGTTTCCATTGGTTCCCCATCTATTTGACATGAAATGATGGGACTTGATGCCATGATCTTTGTTTTTTGAATGTTGAGTTTTAAGCCAGCTTTTTCACTCTCCTCTTTCGCTTTCATCAAGAGGCTCTTTAGTTCCTCTTCACTTTCTTCCAAAGGGTGGTGTTATCTGCATATCTGAGGTTACTGATATTTCTCCCTGCAATCTTGATTCCAGATTGTGCTTCACCCAGCCCAGAATTTCACATGATATATTCTGCATATAAGCAATAGCTTAAGAGGAAGATATAAAAAGTTCTTGAAAGTTAATTAGAAACATACTAACACAGTAGAAAAATGAATAAAAGACACAAATACACAAGTCACAAAATACAAATGATGAATTGCAGAAAGAAAAATAATCTATACTAGTAATAAAAATAATGAAGTAAAAATTAAACATTTATTTCTCTAGAAGACGGTCAAAGTTTCTTTCAAGGACTGCCATACTCAACACCAAGGTCCATGATAGTAATATAATTCTGCTCTGTCAAAGGGAACTTGGTAGTAAAGAGCATGATTTTACCTGGAGTGGTCTGGCCGTTGTCCTAGGTTTCTGAGAAGTAATCGCCAAACCTAGGGGTGCTGTGCCTAACAGGAGTGTCTTTGCTTGCCTGGCGGCCTTGGGTCAGCCAGATAGTAAAGATGTGACTTAGGGTGGGAACTTTGCGTAACAAGGTGTCAGCTGACCTCCCAAGAGGTCTCTTCCCTCTGCATCTCTTCCCTTAGTGAATGTCAGAGACTGAGACTGGCCATATGGACTCCCTATGTGAGGGACCCCAGGAAAGCCTCTGGGCCCAATTCTCGGGTGAGCCTCCCTGGTTGGCAGTGCTCCATGAATATCATCATACCTCAGTGCAAAGAAAGTCACGCTGCCCTGATTCCGGGGAAGAGGACAACCACAATTCCCGCATTTGGTGCTTTTCCTGGACTCTGCCCTCTGCATCTCTTCCCTTAGTGAATGTCAGCCTGCATCCTTTCTCTGTAATACACCATAACCATGAATATGAGAGCACTGATTTAGTTCTGGGTCATTCTGACGAATTATCAAAGCTTGATAGTGACCTCAAGAATCCTTCACTCTGAAGTCCCTGTCAGAAGCGAGGGTGGTCATGTCAACTGTCCCCTCTAGCGTCATGATTTGACTTTCCCAGGATCAAGTATTGCTACATTTCTGGAAAGAGATTTGTCAGTATGTTGTCAAGAGTCTTAAAGGACTCATATTCTGACCTTTCAATTCAATTTTGAATGATCTAGGCTAAGAAAATAATAAAATATGTTGTCAGAGACATAAGTCCAAGTACATTTCCCAGTAATATATTAGAAGTAATAAAATAATTAAGATTAAATGTCCAATGACAAATTCATATTTTCCTAATGTTTGAATATTATGCAACCATTAAAAACCATGTTGTTTGGGGAAAATAATAATATAATGAAGTGTTTATTACATAGTAGGTCTAAAAAGTTTTGAAGACAAATTGACTGACTGGATTCATAATTCACCAGACTAGCTATGTTATACTCATTAAAAGTTGTAACTTCTCAGAAAACATTCTCTCTACTTTTAAAATGTAGATAACAATATCTGTCAGAAATGTCATGGTGATTAGATTTAGTATTGTATGTAGTGAAGCTCTCAGTAAAGTGTCTGTAATAAAACAAGCAATCTCACAAACGATAGCTATTGTATTAATAATATCATTTAAAGATAAAAAGATAAATTCACAACATGTATTACAAAGGAAGAAATATAAGCAATATGAAATGATCACACACATACAACACTCAAAGAGTATACACACATAAATATTCTGTTAGAAAAGTTAAATATAGATTTGTTTCACTCCCAAATGTAAGATTCTCTTTTTATTTGAAATCCCCACAGCCATAGTTTTAACCTGCAAATTCAACTGATATTGGCTGTTACTCCCATCATTTTAGTTTTGCTAAGGCTGCCGTCCCTAGGACCACATTCTGGGTGTACAAAATGACCACAGGCATCAATGCCCCAAGTGGAAAGAGATCTGATTTCTCCATTGTGACTTCATTCAAGAGTTTTCCACAAGAGGGCAAAAGAAAATACAAGTTTAGCAGTATCAGCTTTGATGACCTCCCTCCAGTTTACCTTGACAAAAACCACAAACTCTTTTGAAAGGTCTGCGTAGCCTGCTGATGATTCATTAGTTATTTTGCCATGGCGATCAAAAATAACCAAGTGGCCGGGAACCCGTGCTGACTCAAGGAGTGCACAGCGGTTGGGCTGAGACAGCACCCGCATCTCAGTGGAGGCTCCACCACTAGCCTAAAAGAAAAAAGGAAAACAAAACAAAATGAAAGCTCTGCATAAGCAATAGAAAATGTGTTGACACTCTATGTGTGCACAGATCCGATGCACTCCGTGGAACCCTTGAACTAGCTGCACAACAGTGACATGTTTTCTGATTCAATTCTTGTGATCCCCCACCCTGATTTCCAGGGTCTTGCTCCAAGGACCTTATCTTGATTTCTCAGAAACCATGTAGAACACTAAATAGCAGCAAAAATAACTCCAGTGGCAGGGTAATTTAATGAGATGTTAATGTGTATTTTATCATTATTTTTCATTTCTTCTTTTGTGTCTTCCTAATTAAAGACTACATGGGATCAAAAAGATGAAATTAACAGATATGTATTACTAGGTTTTGCTTGTGATAAACTGAACAAATCAAGGAAGATAAACTATAGTGAGACATTTCTAGTTTGGGACACTGAGGTCTGACTTCTCACTGTCTCAAGGAGGCATCTGGGCCTGAAGGACTTATTGATGCCGCTTGAAAGGCTTGATCCATGACACTAAGGCTGCCAACCTCAGTGAAGTTTCTTGTGTGAGGATGAGATGTAAGTCACAGAGCTGTTCATCAAGAAACCACCTGATGTTTGATGAGAACATGGGCAGTGAGCCACATTTCATCTGGTGTGTGGACTGAAGGTAAAAGAGTTGTCACCAGCTATTCAGAGATCCGACACACCAGATGAAATGTGTATACAACAAGGTGACCTTCATAATAACCAAGGTGGGATTTTTCTCCAGCCTAGAGGGATAGGGGCTTACAGAGAGACTTTATTTGATTTTAGAAAAATAAATAGAACATTTATTGAACTCTTAATTTGAGGGGATTCCATACCCACAACACTCATATTTATTAAACTTCTACTGACTAGGACATTTATGAAGCAGAATGCACTATAAAATGCAGCATGGGGGACTTCCCTGGTGGTCCTATGACGAAGACTCCAAGCTCACAATGCAGGGTGCCCCGGTTTGATCCCTGATCAGGAAACTAAATCCCATATGCCACCACTGAAACCCAGTGCAGCCAAAATAAAAATAAGTATAAAAAACAGCATGGGGTAACATTCTAAGTCCAAAGCAAAGAAAAGACACCATGAAAGAAATGTGACTGATTCATGTCTGAGTCTTTGCAGCCCCATGGACTGCAGCCTGCCCGACTCCTCTGTCCATGGGATTCTCCAGGCAAGAGTACTGGAGTGGGTTGCCAGCTCCTTCTCCAGGGGATCTTCCCGACCCAGAGATGGAACTGGGTCTTCCATGCTGCAGGCAGATTATTTATCATCTGAGCCACCAGTGAAGCAACTAAGTAAATTAATTAATAATTTTTTTTAAAAAAGCAATACAGCTTCCCCCTGACCATTTCCCCTCTTGGCATCTTTGTCCTGGAATGTAGCTACCACACTGTGAGAGAGTCAGCAGCTGCACCGAAGGAAGGACCACACACAGCTGTTCCACTGAGAGCTGGCATCGACTACCAGGCCTGCGACTCAACAAGCCCTTCAGTGACTCCAATCTGTAACATTTCAGTCACTTCACTTGATGCTGAGAGGAAGAGAGATGTGCTACCTTCTCTGGGTCCTGCCCAACTGAAGATTTGTGAACAAAATAAATATGGTCAATATTGTCAAAAAAAAAAAAGAAAGGTGACTGATTAGTCACTTAGCTACAGATCATGTTTTCTCTTCAAAATTTATTGCTATCCTTAAGTTTAAAAACAAGCTATAAGTTAAAAAAAAAGTCATTGCCACAGATGTACACAACAGACTTGTGGACTCTGTGGGAGAAGGCGAGGGTGCGATGTTTCGAGAGAACAGCATCGAAACATGTATATTATCTAGGGTGAAACACATCACCAGCCCAGGTTGGATGCATGAGACAAGTGCTCGGGCCTGGTGCACTGGGAAGACCCAGAGAGATCGAGTGGAGAGGGAGGTGGGAGGGGGGATCGGGATGGGGAATACATGTAAATCCATGGCTGATTCATGTCAGTGTATGGCAAAAACTACTACAATATTGTAAGGTAATTAGCCTCCAACTAATAAAAATAAATGGAAAAAATAAAAAATTTTTAAAAAGGCATTGCATAAAATTATGTAACATTACATGAGAAAGCTGTAGAATGAGGGGTAGAGTCCAGGCGTCGGTGCTCGGTGCCTGCTTTCACACTGACTAGCTCTGAGACTTTGGACAACACAGTCTTCCCCCCCGTCAGGCTCCTCTTCTGTCAGAAAGGGATGCTAATGCACTCTCTCACAGGACAGATAAAAAGGCTAAATGTTATCGCACATAGTTAGCACTTAAAACACGGCATGTCATCCTATGCTTTCTCAGTTTCAAAACAAATAATCATACATGGATCTTAAAAAGACATTTTTAGAAGTTTTATATATTTTTTAAAATTTTATTTTATTTTTAATTGTAGGATAATTACTTTACAATACTGTGATGGTTTCTACCATATATCAACATGAATCAGCCATAGGTATACCTGCGTCTCCTCCCTCTTAAACCTCCCTCCCACCTCCCTTCCCATCCCACCCCTCAAGGTTGTCACAGAGCACCAGCTTTGGGTTCCTTTCAAACCTAAACTAAGTAATCTCATACACTCACTCACAAAGCACATTGAATTGTGCTGTGCTTAGCTGCTCCGGTCATGTCCAATTCTTCACGACCCTATGGACTGTAGCCCACCAGGCTCCTCTGTCCATGAGATTTCCCAGGCAAGAATACTGGAGTGGGTAGCCATTTCCTTCTCCAGGGGATCTGCCCAATCCAGGGATCAAACCTGGGTCTCCTGTATTGCACAGGAATTCTTTACCAACTGAGCCACCAGGGAAGCCCAACCAAGTAATACAAGGCATAATTATGTGAAACTATTGGTTCTCCCCTAATAATGTGATCCCTGGAGGGGCCTTTGAGTGGTCAGATTTCCCATTTTGAGGCTCACTGAAATTTTGAATGTTCTCAGAGACGTTTTCTACTTTTTCTTGTCTAAATTCTAACTGCTGAAATTTAAGGCCATTTACACATCAAAATCTCAAAAATCAGTGAAACAAAACAACATGAAAAAAGTGGAAATAAAAGCCAAAGGAAAATACAAATTCGTAATGTTATAAAAGTGTCTTGTGCAAGAATATATTATATATATTTGACACATGGCAAAAAGAAAGATTACTACATACCATTCCAGTGACGGAGCCGTTGTCAAGAGCCAGAGAAAGGTGCCTCAATTCATGACTTTGGAAAATGCATACATTTCCTTTGTTGAAAATAACGTCAAAGAAACCTGTAAAATGTTTTAAGTATTAACAAGCAATTCGTGCTTTTAAAGCTTTTTTCTTATTCAATTATACATTGAAACCTCCTAAAAATACATTTTATGACATCTCTCAGTTAAATGTTTTTAATTAGTCAAAAGGTAGAAGAATGCTGGTAACCTTTAATAATCTACATGTTGCTTTGCATCTGCTGGCATTTCCAAGGAAAATATCTAATGCCTTCCCAAAATAAACAGTAAACTCCTGAGACAATCCAAAAAAAAGCAAAAAACAAAAAAAACTCAACGGAACTGTTGCCAGGAAGACAAATTATCCTAGTGTGAAAACCCATGTCCATTTTCAAGTCCCAGAGATTTAAGATAAAATAAACTGATGCATTCTAAAATGAAATACATACTATTAGGGCATTGGTGACTGGTTTGTATGATTATGATGACAAAGGTTATGTCATCATATATTTGATTGCTTTTAACTTTCTGTATACTTTTACATGTCATTTTATCCTGAAACAAAGCTTTTTTTAAGGTCATGAATTTTTTTTACCACTCTTTGTACAGCTAAACACCAACACTTAGAACAATGCCTAGAACATAGCAGGCCCTCAAGGAGCATTCTTTAGGTAAGATCCCTAATTAGATCCTCCAAAACAAACACAAATGCTGCATATCACTTACATGTGAAATCTAAAAACTAAAACAAACCAAAACAAACTCATAGATACTGAGAACAAATGGGTGGCTGTCGGAGGGAGTGGGTAGAGGGTGGGCAAAACAGATGAAAGGAATTAAGAGGTACAAACCTCCAGTCTTATGATAATTAAGTTACAAGGATGTAATGTACATCATAAGGAATATGGTCAATAACACTGTACTAATTTTGTGAGGACTGATGATCACTAGACTTATAATAGTGATCATTTCATAACATTTGCAACTGTCAAATCATTCCACAGTACTCTTGAAACAACAAAACACTGTATGCCAACTATATTTCCATTAAAAAAAATAACAAAGGCAAATGTTCAAAACTTGTTGAAAAACAAAAAAGTTAGAAATCTCATTTAAATTATAGAGTTAATGAGCTCTCCACCATGAGTAAGCAGTTCAATACAAGAATGGAAATATTATTTAGTTTTAACAAAAATAATATTTTCAAGTTACATAACTCTTTAAGTTCAATGTGAAAAAATGTATTGAATCCAATAGATGCCAAAGAGAAACATCTTAACATTTAGCGCGTTCATTTTTAAATCCTTTTAATAGGGTTCTTAGTAAAATAAGAAATGACTTTCCTTTCATGCTAAAGGAAAAGTTTTTACAAATCACACATAACTAGAGGGGGACCTCTTTCCCCCATGCCAGCGCCCACTCTCCCTCCCACTGCAGCCAGAGGACAGGTGCAGCCCTTCAACTGGTGACAAGGCGGCAGGTGCTCCAGCTCCGGCCCTTTCTACTCCCGGAGAAGCCGCCCCACAGAAGGCTTTCTCAGCTTCTCCATCACTGGTGAGCACAGCCCCCGGAGGGGAGACAGCGGGTGCCCCGAATCTCGCCTCCTTCTGGGAGGAGTTGGTGAGATCTGTGAGCTCCTACCCCAACCTGAGAGAGCCAGTACCCCAACATGGTTTCATCAGTAATAAAGCTGAGGTTCTGACTTCCATTCGTCTGTGCTCTGTATCTTATTTCTTAATTGATTTTGCACACAGGAGTGGAAGAAAATGGTATTATTTATCGATGCCTTTTCAAATACCCAACTCTTAAAAGACAATAAAAACATCCCATTAAAATTAATTACAGAATGAAAATGTCAATATTACCAACACTATTTCACTTTCTTAAGGATGTTCTTGCCAATGGAACAGTGCTTGAAACCAAATCAATAGATATAACTATTGGGAGGTAGTAAATAAATTTATCATATTTGTAAAATCTAAAAACTCTTTAATTAGAGTGGAGTAAAGTGGTATGATTCAAGATAAGTATGTATCTAGACCTGACATACCATGGGCACTTAACAAATACTGAACAAATAAAACATAAAAACTACAGATCTCTACATATGTGTATATATTAATATGTTAGCTTTATAATGGGATGGGGTTTATTTACAATGTTAACCACAGCCTTGGAACAACACTAACAAGACGTTATAGTGCCTATGTGAAGAGAGGAAATATATACACGGTGGCGGTTTAGTCACTAAGTTGTGTCCGACTCTTAAGACCCCATGGACTGTAGCCCGCTAGTCTCTTCTGTCCATGGGATTTCCCAGGCAAGAATGCTGGAGTGGGTAGCCATTCCATTCTCCCCGGACACGTATACATATATATACACACATGCACAGGCACACACATATAAACACAGTCTTAAATTAATAGAGGAAAAACTCCTAAAGAAAAAAATTGAATACTGTGAAAACATCAATTCCTTCCAAGTTAATATTTAAATTTAGTGTAAGTGTAGCAAAATTTCCCTCAAAATTTCTTGGGAATGATGAAATAATTTAAATTCAATATGTAAAAAAAAAAAAACAAAAACAAAACCATAAGCATGAACTCTCTGACCAGTGCTTTATGCTGTAGTTTGTGTGTTGGAATCTCAAGTCCCTGTCTTACATTTCAAAGTGCTTCTCACCTCAGCTAGGGTGCAAGGTTAGAAATCCCCTGCAAGGATCTGGGCCAGGCCTCCTTCTATCTCCCAGTTTCCTTGTCTCTCTCATCTCCATCTGCCAGGTGAGGCTAGAGGTGACTTGCTGCTCACACAAGTCTCATGAAGTCAGCGCTGGAGGTCCCCATGGTTGATCCCATTTCTCCATCCCATAAGGCAAGGGTCCCATAGTGACCCGTGAGTATGTCACACTGGGTTTGCATCCTTCTAAAACCCTTAACCACCTCCTGGAGCTGGGGAGCCCTAGCAAGACAAGGCCCTCTTACACTGGATGCTGTTAGGGGTGGCTGGATGGCGCCTGCTCACACGTTCTATCTATGCTTGTTCTAAACTTGCCAGAAACCCAGGAGTCCAGGCCTCATATTCAAGAGACCTTAGGGGCCCACATCAACCCGTGACTACTCCTACCCTGCTGTGCCCTCCTAGATTCTCTCTCAATGATCTAGGGGCCCTGGGTCCACTCTCCTCTTGCCATCCAACTTACAGCTGGCCTCAAAGAAGACACCAGTGCAACCCATGGGCACACAGTCCCTGAGCAGCAGTGACGTCAGCTGGTCAGACTTTCATAAACTGTCAGGAAAGACACAGAATGCCCGCTACAGTGACAGTTAATTAGACCTGGCACAGGAGGCATCAGGAGCTGCAGATTCCTACAGATCCCCATCCGCTGAGTCCCCTGTGGTTAATGCAGAGCAGGACCGGGTGAATGAGGCACATGGAGGGGCTCTGGTTACAGCTGAGGACCCTGAGCTTTAGAAATACCCAGCCTTATTCAGTTCAGTTCAGTCACTCAGTCATGTCTGACTCTCTGCAACCCCATGGACCACAGCATGCCAGGCTTCCCTATACATCACCAACTCCCAGAGCCTGCTCAAGCTCATGTCCATGGAGCTGGTGATGCCATCCAACCATCTCATCCTCTGTCATCCCCATCTCCTCCTGCCTTCAGTCTTTCCCAGCATCAGGATCTTTTCAAATGAGTCAGTTTTTTGATCAGGTGGCCAAAGTATTGGAGTTTCAGCTTCAGCATCAGTCCTTCCAATGAATATTCAGAACTGATTTCCTTTAGGATTGACTGGATGGATCTCCTTGCAGTTCAAGGGACTCTCAAGAGTCTTCTCCAACACCACAGTTCAAAAGCATCAATTCTTCTGAAGCACTCAGCCTTCTTTATAATCCAACTCTCACATCCATACAAGACTACTGGAAAAACCATGGCTTTGACTAGATGGACCTTTGTTGGCAAAGTGATGCCTCTGCTTTCTAATATGCTGTCTAGGTTTGTCATAGCTTTTCTTCCAAGTCTTTCAATTTCAAGGCTGCAGTCACCATCTGCAGTGATTTTGGAGCCCAAGAAAATGAAGTCTGCCACTGTTTCCATTGTTTCCCCATCTATTTGCCATGAAGTGATGGGACTTGATGCCATGATCTTCATTTTTTGAATGCTGAGTTTTAAGCCAGCTTTTTCACATTCCTCTTTCACTTTCATCAAGTGGTTCTTTAGTTCCCCTTCACTTTCTACCATAAGGGTGATGTCCTCTGCATATCTGAGGTTATTGATAGTTCTCCCTGCAATCTTGATTCCAGATTGTGCTTCATCCATCCCATCATTTCACATGATGTATTCTGCATATAAGTTAAACAAGTAACAGGATGACAATATACAGCTTGATGTATTCCTTTCCCAATATGGAACCAGTCTGTTGGTCCATGTCCAGTTTGAACTGTTGCTTCTTGACCTGCATACAGATTTCTCAGGAGGCAGGTAAGGTGGTCAGTTCAGTTCAGTTCAGTTACTCAGTCGTGTCCGACTCTTTGCAACCCCATGGGCTGTAGCACACCAGGCTTCCCTATCCATCACCAACTCCTGGAGCTTGCTCAAACTCACTTCCATCAAGTCTGTGATGCCATCCAACCATCTCATCCTTTTTCATCTCTTTCTCCTCCTGCCTTCAATCTTTCCCAGCATCAGAGTCTTTTCTAAAGCGAGTCAGTTCTTCGAATCAGGTGGCCAAAGTTTTGGAGCTTCAGCTTCAGCATCAGTCCTTTCAATGAATATTCAGAACTGATTTCCTTTAGGATGGACTGGTTTGATCTCCTTGCTGTCCAAAGGACTCACTCACTTTTGCAACACCACAGTTCAAAATCATCAATTCTTTGGCTTTCAGGTTTCTTTGGAGAAGGCGATGGCAACCCACTCCAGTACCCTTGCCTGGAAAATCCCATGGACGGAGGAGCCTGGTAGGCTGCAGTCCATGGGATCACGACAAGTCGGACACAACTGAGCAACTTCACTTTCACTTTTCACTTTCATGCATTGGAGAAGGAAATGGCAACCCACTCCAGTATTCTTCCTTGGAGAATCCCAGGGACAGGGGAGCCTGGTGGGCTGCCGTCTATGGGGTTGCACAGAGTCGGACACACCTGAAGCAACTTAGCAGCAGCAGCAGCGTTACTTTATGGTGGTTTGGTATTCCTATCTCTTTAAGAATTTCCACACAATCAAAGGCTTTGGCGTCAATAAAGCAGAAGTAGATGCTTTTCTGGAACTCTCTCGCTTTTTCTATGATCCAGCAGACGCTGACAATTTGATTTCAGGTTCCTCTGCCTTTTCTAAATCCAGCTTGAACTACTGAACATTCTCGGTTCACATACTGTTGAAGCCTTGCTTGGAGAATTTTGAGCAATCTCATTATGGAGGAAGAAATGGCAACCCACCCCAGTATTCTTTCCTGAGAAAATCCACAAACAGAGGAGCCTGGTGGGCTATAGTCCATGAGGTTGCAAAGAGTCGGACACGACTTGCCTACTAAGTACCTACTTAGCAACAGCAAGTACAACTATTCACATAGGTCTATAGTGACACTGCTGCTGCTGCTGCTGCTGCTGCTGCTAAGTCACTTCAGTCGTGTCCGACTCTGTGTGACCCCATAGACGGCAGCCCACCAGGCTCCTCTGTCCCTGGGATTCTCCAGGCAAGAACACTGGAGTGGGTTGCATTTCCTTCTCCAATGTATGAAAGTGAAAAGTGAAAGTGAAGTCGCTCAGTCGTGCCCGACTCTTAGTGACCCCACGGACTGCAGCCCACCAGGCTCCCCTGTCCATGGGATTTTCCAGGCAAGAGTACTGGAGTGGGGTGCCATTGCCTTCTCCGATAGTGACACTGCAGAGAACAACAAAGACACATTAGAAATTTCCAGTGTGGTAACACATTGTATATTTAAAATTACATGCTTAACAAATTAGTACAGCCACTATGGAAAACAGTGTGGAGATTTCTTAAAAAGCTGGAAATAGAACTGCCATATGACCCAGCAATCCCACTTCTGGGCATACACACTGAGGAAACCAGATCTGAAAGAGACACGTGCACCCCAATGTTCATCGCAGCACTGTTTATAATAGCCAGGACATGGAAGCAACCTAGATGCCCATCAGCAGACGAATGGATGAGGAAGCTGTGGTACATATACACCATGGAATATTACTCAGCCATTAAAAAGAATTCATTTGAATCAGTTCTAATGAGATGAATGAAACTGGAGCCCATTATACAGAGCGAAGTAAGCCAGAAAGATAAAGACCATTACAGTATACTAACACATATATATGGAATTTAGAAAGATGGTAACGATAACCCTATATGCAAAACAGAAAAAGAGACTCCGATGTATAGAACAGACTTGTGGACTCTGAGAGAAGGCGAGGGTGGGATGTTTCAAGAGAACAGCATCGAAACATGTATATTATCTAGGGTGAAACAGATCACCAGCCCAGGTTGGGTGCATGAGACAAGTGCTCGGGCCTGGTGCACTGGGAAGACCCGGAGGGATCGGGTGGAGAGGGAGGTGGGAGGGGGGACCGGGATGGGGAATACATGTAGATCCGTGGCTGGTTCATTTCAATGTATGACAAAAACCACTGCAATGATGTAAAGTAATTAGCCTCCAACTAATAAAAATAAATGGAAAAAAATAAATAAAAAATAAAATTACATGCTTAAAATAAATAAATAAATAAATAAAATTACATGCTTAATCCTTTTAGGAATATAAGTTGAATGAGTCCGAATTTAGGTTATGTTTTTTTCCTTGAAAAATACAGCTATATAATAAGAGAATTAGGTGAATCTGTATTTTATAGTAAATCTTTTGAAATTTCAGGGGATGGGAAGTTCGTGAACTGGCCTTGATATAAGGTAGCCATCAATGGTTTAGAACTAAACACTTATTTGTATTGTCATCCAGGCCTTCCTTTGGGCTCTGAGATCCCACACTAGGGACAGGAAGACTTGTTTTTGATGGTCATTGTCAGAGTAGGCATAGTATTATTTTTTTTAATTCTTAAGAGCTTATGACCGTAAAAATGAAGCCTCCTGTGGTATTTCAATGATCTTCTCATGCTGTGTATCTCCTCGTGGGTCTAGTGTTGCCAAGAAATGGTTCAGCAGCTCTCAGAGAAATGAGCACTCTCACTCTGGGCATGGAAATAGCTAAATTCACAACCAGCTTGATAACTAAATAGAAGGACTGGCGCATGATAATACATTGTGTGTGTGTGTGTGTGTGGAGTGAACATGAAAAGCAACATATCTGAGACACATTCTTAAAATATTTTCTTGAAAAGATGTTCATGGGTCAGCATTGTTCATCACCAACCCTTTCCAGGCAAGTGAAAACTGATTCATAAATGTGAATTTACGGGACAAGGCATATAACATCAGGAAATAATGCTGCAGTAATTATCATACATAAAACACCTCCTGTTGCAAAAATGTCAGTTACGCTGAGGAAAATGACTCATACCATCCTGCACCTGCCTTTCTTAGGACTGCTCATTCTACTCTATATATTGCAGGACTAGAGTATTTAGATGCTGGGAACATTTAAGAGTAAAATTTCTGTTTTCATCATCTACCGGTTAGTTAGTTCTACACACACATTCACAAGCCTGCCGTCTGCGCAGCTGCAGGACACCAGTTCTTTCCTGGGGAGCCTCTCTGCATAACTCTCTGGGTTTATCCATATCATGAGGCCTGGCTTCCAAGAAGGATTAATCCAGGAAGTGGAGGCAGAAGACAAGGACTTTAGGAGTTACAGAGTGCTCGCTCTATTAGTCAAAATACGGAGACAGGGCTGACCCAGAGAGGGATGAGGCAGACGCTCCACTTCTTGAAGTGGGAGTGTTGAGTTCCCTCTATAAACCAGCTTGTCAGGGTGGGTGTTAGAAGACAAGTATTCCTACACATGTCATTTTCCTGCATGGACCAGTCCCTCTGAATAAAGGGATTTGCAAATGTATGTGTGACTGTGTGCTCAGTCGTGACTGTTTCTGTGACTCTATGGACTGTAGCCTGCCAGGCTCCCTCTGTCCATGGGATTCTGCAAGCAAGAACACTGGAGTGGATTGCCATTTCCTTTTACAAAACATATACGGAAATGTTCCAGCATAGTAACGCTTTGATATCACTATTTCTCCCCCTCTCTTTCAGCACCCCAGGGGAGTAAAGAAAAAGACTTTCCTTCCCTTCCCTGGAGAATATTTGCTTACACTCTCGTCTTTTTTTTTTCTGTCTGTCTGTCTCTGTCTGTCACTCTGTTTCTCCTTCTCTGGAAGGAAAACTGGGCAACCCTGAAAAAAATCGGAGTTTCTTACCTTGGGTATTTCTCTGCTTTAACGTACCCACCCGTGTATGTAGGTAACATCAGGCCTTCACTTGATGATACTGAGGGGTGGGGACTTGGGGACCCAATGTAAGATGCTGCTCCACCTGCTGCATTTGTTCCGAGAAACAATGGTCTTGGTCTTTGACTCAATGCTCTTGTGTTTTTTGCAAGTAGAGTTAAACTTAGATCGTTTACGGTTTCTGATTTCAAAATGGGAGACATTTTTACATTTGGAAATACAAGCCATTCTCTTCAATAACGGAAAAGAGTGTCAGCACTGGCAGTAGGGACCTTGGGGAGCATGACATGAAGGACCGTTCTGAGGGATCTAAGTAGATAAGTGATTCCAAATGGGAACCAAAAGACAAGAAAAATGTCTGAGAAATAGACTAGTTGTGAAAAGAGAAACTACTAGGATGCATTCTCAGATTCTCACACATGTTCATAGAAGGGGAAGTTGGATTATTCCCTGGGGTCTCTAATAGGAGGTGGATGTTACCTTCTTAGGAGATGCTGGAGGTTAATATCTCCTGCATATCCTCAAGGTTATTTGAAGACACAGTTTCTAACAAGGTACAGCAAAGTTACATCCACAGATACAAAAGGTGGATTTTGCTTAAATAGTGATGGCCTAAATTTCAAGGCCACAGAGGATGAGATGGTTGGATCACATCACTGCCTCAATGAACATGAGCAAACTCCAGGAGATAGTGAAGGGCAGGAAAACTTGGTCTGCTGCAGTCCATGGGGTCACAAATAGTCAGACATGACTTCGTGACTGAACAACAACAAAATTTCAAGAGGAGTTGGAGGTTTGGGTTCATAGTCCAGTCTACCAGTATTGGATTACTCCTTCTTCATGAATGTTTGTGGTTGTGGCTTCATGACGTGCTGACATTAAACAACAATGCAATTTCCCTTTGCTTAGTTCTTCCTCTGTACTATCATTCTGACACTACAAACAAGCATTATTAGAATTGTTGTATGTGTTTGTCTTCTGTATCAGATGATGAATCTCTGGAGTTCGGAAAAATGTCTCGGTTATTTCTGTGGCCCTCACATTGTTTAACATGGTGCTTTGAAGTAACAGGCTCTCAGTGTTTAGTAGAACCTATTTAATTGCTTAAATGGCCATACCCTTTCAAGAACTACAAATGCTATTTTTTATAAACACTTTATGTTAATTGCCTACATATTATTCTTCAAGTAAGAATTACCAAATATAAGTGTTTTCATGGTGTACTGTCTGCATAATTGCATCGTCTGCCAAGATTTAGAGTCTCTCGTCTATTGACCATTTGTGTTAATGTAGGTAGTAAATTATTTAAATGGTTTAATACTGGTATAAAGTCATCTGAAAAGTAAGAAGTACAACTTAAGCTGGGTCTAGAAACCTGCTTTCCTCCAGCTCCCAAAACTGCCATGGCATCACATGCTAGGCCCATGATTTTACCATATTTGTCTGTCTTCTCTCCAACTGCGTCCACTGTGCTGTCTGGATGCAGACGGACAAACCCTCCAGTAAGCCTGTTGTAGAACTGAAGAGTATTTCCTTTCCTAAATTTCCAGCTTTCTGCAGCCCACTAAGTAGAAAAATGAAACAAACAACACCAATATGAGAAGACAGACAGGAGAAGTTACTGGGAAACACCCCTCACTAAACATTATATACTGACTTAACACATCAAATAGTTACTTGAACACTGTTTTGTACCAAATAATTTAGGGCCAAAAGTAAAATCTTACTGTCTCTTTTCTAATAACTTCCAGCTTTTGCCCTGAGGATGTAAAGGAGGGAAAGGACCATTAATTTCAGCAGAGTCAAGCTTTCTTTCCTCAATCATTATAAAACAGAGTTTTCCAAGAAACATCTGACACTCACTTGCAGAGAGAATACTGTTATTCTTGGCATACAGTTCTCTGACGATTTTACCATCATCTTCCCCTTGATCCAGCCATCTATACAAAGAAAAGTGAATCAAGTATATCCTGAATTTATATTTACACTAACCACTAGTAATTATCTAGCCAGGTCAGAAATAACAGCTAGTGGGCACGCTAAGTTGCTTCGGTCGTATCCAACTCTTTGCAACCCCGTGGACTACAGTCCGCCAGGTTCCTCTGTCCATGGGATTTCCCAGGCAAGAATATTAGAGTGGGTCGCCATTTCCTTCTCCAGGGGATCTTCCCTACCAGAAATCAAACTCGGGTATCTTACATCTCCTGCACTGGTAAGCAGGTTCTTTACCACTGTGTCACCTGGGAAGTCCTCATTCTCCTTACTGATGTATAAAGAGAAATCATATTTTTAAATCTGAACAAAGACCTAAATCTGCATCATCAGGAATGATGATGAACACAATTGATATCTTTGCAAGCAGTAAGAAACAGCCCCTAAAATTAATGTTCAGAAAAGTTACCCAACAAAGCACCAATGACCAGGAGTGATTGAATAAACTCTCCATTTGCCCAAAACATGTGAGCCTGACACTGACTCATATGAAATGAATTTGTTCAAGGTAAAGCGTGCCTACCAACCTGTGGCAGAAAAAGGTGTATTCACGGTTCGTTGTGGGATCCTTGATCACAACATCATCAAGAAACCAACCATTTCCTAAACACAAATTAAAGAAAGAAAACTGCGGTGTTAATAGGCTACAGACTGGCTATTACTTGAGGTTTTGGGAAAGAGGCTCCAGCTTCTGAGTAAGTAAAGCCCTGATGCACCTGTGTTATAAGGTGTATAACTTCAGAGAACACAAGATACTTGGGGCCTGGACTCTGAGGCACTTAAACATAGTTCTTCTACATGCATAGCCTATTTCAAGGCTCACCAGGCTCCTCTGTCCATGGAGTTCTCCAGGCAAGAAAGAATGCTGGAGTGGGTTGTCATTCCCTTCTCCAGGGGATATTCAAAACCCAGGGATCAAACCTGCATCTCCTGCACTCACAGGCAGATTCTTAACCATCTGAGCCACCAGAGAAGCTTTTTTTTTTTTTAATGTTTTTGTTTATTTAGTTACAGCACGTGGGATCTAGCTTCCTGACCAGGGATCAAAGCTGGGCCCCCTACATTGTGAGCACAGAGTCGTAGCCACTGACCACCAGGGAAGTCACAAAGATTTGTATGTTATGACATCTACTTCAGTGTGATTTTCCAAATGGCTGAAAATAGAACAACTCTGCAATTGCTCTTGATTTCAAAACCTGCATTTATAACCCTGAACCTAACATCTTTCAAAGAATATATATCTGATGAGTAAGCAATACTGTCAATTTCTAAAATGCAGACACATTGAAAGCTTTAAAGTACAAATTTAAACTTTATTGTATATATTAAATACATATTCATTCAGAAACTCTGAATGTACCTCCAAGCACACAGCATGAGCTAGTTTAATGATGATAATGGTCTATTCTTAAATGTTTAATTTATATTAACTTGTAAACTCGAGTTGGTTAAAATACAATTTAATTTTATAGATAAAATGGACTATTTTAACTAGCCATCATTGTTTTATTTATACAAAGGGCCAGCTCAAAATGTATTCTCCTTTGATTAAAACTGCTTGACTTGCCGAGGTAATACTCATCAGCTGTAGACTCTAACACAGCACATGGTCACAGACTGGCCTCTGTTTAGTCTTGGACTGTGTGCCTCACCACATGCCCATCCCTGAGCCGAGCCACATTCCTCATCATTCCCTATATGACCCTGTCTTTCATGTTTTCTCTCCTGAGTCTGTGATAGCTCTTGTTCAACACCAGTAGATATGTCCAAGCACTGCACCCCCACCTCTTTCCAGTTCATCATTTTCTTACTTGTGATGCTCCACTGGGTTGTGGAGTAACCAACAGTCTTTCTGTAAAGAAACCACTGCAGCAATTTCTCCATCATAGTCTGAGATCTTACCTTACATAAAAATAAATCTTGCCACAGATTGTTTTTGCCCAAAAAAATGGAGAGACCTGGGCGCAATCTGGTTAAACAAAATCTTTAACTCGTATTAACTGCCAATGCACCACAAACAGGCAGGTGGGGCCTAAAGGAAATCTGTAAATACATGCAGCACAAAACCTTCACCTCTCTCACCAAAACAGAACAAATCAGAACAGGAACACAGTGCCAGCTGAGGTCGCTGGTAAATAAGTCGTTAAGGAACAAACAGGTTCACTTAATCCTCAGGACAGAGAGAACCTACAAATCAAACTGTCCTAGCTAGAGTTTCCTATTACTTCTCAATATGGCTTTCAGAACAGGCCAGTTTAATAATTCAGAGGGACATGTATTTCTCATTGTAGATGTTAATTATTATATATTCTATATATTTTTGCTGCTACTCTTAAGAGCTTTTATATCTCATATTTTCAATAGAAAAAAACAGCCTCCAGTTATTGTATATTGATTTAAATTCTAATCACTTTATAAATTCTCTTCTTTCATCCATTTTTCAGTTGATCCTCCTTGCATTTTAATAGACACTTCTATCACCTGTAGACAATAAATTTACCTTCCTCTTTCCAAAATGAAAGCTTTGTAAAAATACATATATTACTTTCCAAAGAATGAGTATTCTCATAAGGAGAAAAATCCTTATCATATTCCTAACTTTCATGGATTTCATTGTTTATTAAGTGGTCATCTTGAGTTAAATAATTCTAAAATATTTTTTCTGTTCCAAATTTTGAAAGAATTTTTAATAATATTAATTAACTGCTGACAGATAATTTTTTTGCTTCAACTTTCTAAGGTGATGTATTTTATCAATAGATTTCCTATTACTGAACAATCCTTCAGTTTCCCAGCATGAGCCCTACTTAGTTGTCATATATTATCCCTTATTGTACTTCTCGATTCATTTCCTACACATTTACCTTCAAATAACTGCACACACATGCATCCATGTTGCTGACCTACAACAGTTCTTCTGGAGAATGCACGCTCCATGGGATACTCACATTGTGCCAGCAACCATGAAAATCCTCACAGATAACACAAATCCCATTTTATTTGGGTATTTGGAACAGGACAAAATGGGAAATTTAACTGTCAAATTAAAATATTGTCATTGTCTGCTTGGGCTGCTGTAAGGAAATACCACAGTCGGGGCAGCTTTTAAACAACAGAAAAGTATTTTCATATTTACCATAGAAAATACTCAGCACAGCACTCTGTACATAGCAGGTCCACCACATATATTTCTCGAATTGAATTTGCTGTGTATGTTACTTGGGCATATTAACATGTCCTTTCAGAATCCTACCAGAGCATTCACTGTCCAATAAGCCTGCTGGGCAGTCATCTGACTCGCTGCAGAAATGGAATATTACCTGACTGAGTACTGACCATAGATCAGAGCCCAGACTCTGTAAAATCAGTTGTCAACTGGCAGAAAAATAAGATGCAATAGCCTCTGATCTGACAAAAATGTAAGTGAATTTTGTCCAAAAGGGAAAACAGTCTCAAAGGTATGTTTTTATTATCTTAGGACATTAGCCATACTTTTAATTTGTCAGTCAAATTTATCATTCTTCCTGTTTTCACTGATTACAAATGTATATTTTTTATTTTCGTGTAACTTCTTTTGAACTAGCTTTGTCACCTGACTGGGTCCCTCATTAATTATTTAAACACATATCCACTACATATTGGTATGAGAACTCTGTTCTTAACGTTTTGAAAGTTGACATTTTTAAGCAAAAGAGTTTATCATCTTCTTTGATGCTTTGGGATTTTTTTTTTATCCTTTTTGTGGTATGTGCACTTTACTCGTGTCTTTCGTTAAAGGATTTTATCTCATGGAGACCTTACGCAGTAGCAGAAGATGAAGACGTGGGTCAAGTCACAAAAGTGATGGGGAACCTGAGGAAGAAGTGAGAACAAAAATGGCAGCAGAGCACACACTGAGACAGGACGCCACAGGAAACAGCAAGGCTGCCCGGACAGCTTCCTTAAGGTGCCGCTGTTGGCGTGATGGACAGTCCCTGTCACTGCATGCAGACACGGAATCCACCAGGAGCACGCCTGGAGCACTGCCACACGCCTCAGAGAAACCACTTCATCATGAGTCTTCCACAGTTTTTTCTAGATTTGTACGAGGCATCACAAGAATAGAGCAGAGCCGCACCTTGATTATCTACCTGTGGAACACTCTTACCTGGTCCAAGCCCATCATGGGCTATGACAATCTTGTACAAATTCCCCAGATGCACAGCTTCCAGGAGGAAGCTGTCAACCTGTAACAAACCAAAAAAGTACAGTTAGATCTAGACCATGAGCTGATTTCTAATAAGAGTACAAATTAAGATACAGCAAAAATTCACTGTGAAAGAATTAGGTTCATTCAATAAATACACACCTCTACATTAAGAAAGTAAAGGTATGCACACATTACTATTAATATATTTAAAATATATAACCAATAACGACCTACTATTTTAAAAAGTGATGGTTGTATTTTACCACTGTCTTACTATTTAGAGATAAACATTTAGTTGTTTTCCTAAGAAAGATAAGTATTGAATGCATTATTTTCAGCCTTCATTGATTATTAAAAAGTGTTTCCTCCTGCAAAAAAAGTAAAGATGAAACAGCAATATTAATTTATAGGACATAATAACAAGTTTTCTCATTTTTCCTTCCTGCCAATTGCATTACAAAGGCATACATTTGTGGGCTCTCTACAATTATGTTTTCAAATAATAATAACATAAATGAAATAGTTAAAAAATACACTGTAAGTTTCCATTTATTTGCCTATAACAAACTCTCATCTGTCCTGAATGAAATGTTTTAGCAATGATTAGGGATCATTCACAAAAATGTTTCTAAAGTAATTTTAGAATATTGATGCAAAAATTATTGAACACTTAAAACATTTTGCCTGAAGTCTCAGTGCACTGCTACCATCAAAACTATGCATGTTTGCGCTCCAGTGGTTTGTGTATTCAGAATACAGGTAAAAGTGAAGAGCCCAGAGTTCTTTCATTAAAACCTAAGCTAAGGATACAGATTAAAGAGCAAGAAAAATACACGATTTAGTGTATCAGTTGAAAAATAATTCAACAACAAAAGATACATATCTTACACGTTTTGAAATATTTTCACATATATTTTATCCTTAAAAGTCACTAGGTGAGAAAAAAACATATCCACTCTACAGATAAAAGCAGGGAGGTGGAGAACCAGTGTTAGAGCTCAGATTCTCTGATATTTATGAATACTATTAATACCTTCCTTTGCCATCACTCTACCTCTACATAAATGGACTACAAAAATATAAATAACAGATAAAGCCATTAGCATTTATTTGCTAAAATACGGTCAATGCCTGGTAATGGTAAATGAGTAATACTGCCATCTCTTTATTCATGAATGAAATCTGCTAGAAAAGGAAGATTTTCTATGCAATGACAGAAATACTAGCAAAGAAAATCATGTGTTATAATATTTATGATGATTGACATACAGAACTCTAAGAAAAAAGGGGAAACAATGAAAATATGTTGACATACTCAAAGGCTATTTGCATCCTCAAAACACATCTGAGATAACTATAATATAATGGGTTGTCTATAAATTAATCAGTTTTAAGAAGTATTACTTACATATTAGTATCAGTAATAGTAAATATAATGTAATACATTCAGTTTCTATATTTGACAATGAAAGATGCTATACAGTCGGTCAGTGAATAACACAGGTTTGAACTTATACAGGTACACTTCTATGTGGATTTTTTCCAATAAATATGTACTACAGCATCATACTATCAGCGAGGTTGGCTGAATCCTAGGATGCAGAACAATGGATGTGGAAGGTCAACTGTAAAGCTATATGCACATTTTCAACTGTATGGGGCCAGAGTTCCTAACCTCCTGTGTTGTTCATGGGTCAACTGTACATAGTAATCCTTATTTAACAATACATAGGTGTTGAAAATCAGACAATTGGCAGTGACTTCAGAATGATGGTGGACAGGGAGAACCAAGCCCTTGTTCCTCATGGAGGCACCATTTTAATGACAGCATGTGGACTAGAATATTTCTGGGACAACCCTGAACACCATGAAAGAAGCTGTAGCACCAGTCCCATGCAGAATGAAGCAGGAACTCCATCAAAAGAGACAGGAAAGTTTGTAACTTTTTATACGGCTCATACATGGCATGTGCAGGTCTCTAACCCCTGGGTTATTCAATGATGAACTGTAGTAAAGATGGCACATTTTATTTTTTTAACCATAAAAACTTAAAACTCAGACAAAAGACTTTTTGTTACTTACTTGTCCTCTTAAAAAATTTAAGGTGCTCTTTGATCGAAATAGTTGTCTGGATCCTGTATCTCCCTTTTCCCCATAGACAGACATGTAAATGTTTGCTACTGTTCCAGCATTCCAAAGTTCACCTGTTGCCACGTGCACTTCATACACTGTCACTGACAACAACAACAAAAAAAAACAAGCCTTACTGCCAAGCACCGGAAGATCCCCTGGAAAATGAAATGGCAACCTGCTCCAGTATTGGTGCCTGGGAAATCCCATGGACAGAGAAGCCTGGAGGGCTACAGTCTGTGGAGTCACAAACAGTCAGATACGACTGAGTGACTAAACAACAACCATCACTCATATGATAGAAAAATTACACATTTCTAATCAAGAGCTCCAGGTCCAGGTAAGATGGAGCAACATACCCCACTCAGTCTCTCTCACTGAATACAGCTACAAAATCTTGACAGAATGCATGCAGCAGCTATATGAAGGCTCTGAATAGTAAACAGTAGCAGGAGAATGGGGATTTAGCAGAATTATGTATTTATGTATATATAACATTTGCTTATATATAAAATAATTATAGCAATGATACAGGGGTAAAAGGGGAAGAATATTTATTTTGTCAAAAGGTATTCAGAAGATGGCAGAGGAATAGGATGGGGAGACCACTTTCTCCCCCACAAATTCATCAGAGGATCATCGGAATGCTGAGCAACTTCCACAAAACAACTTCTGAATGCTGGCGGAGGACACCAGGCACCCAGAAAGGCGGCCCATTATATTCAAAAGGAGGTAGGACAAAATACAAAAGACAAAAAGAGAGACAGAAGAGTTAGGGATGGAGACCTGTCCTGGGGAGGGAGTTGTGAAGGAGGAGAAGTTTCCAAAGAGCAGGAAACCCTCTCACCGGCAGGTCTGTGGGGAGTTTTGGAATCTCAGAGGGCAACAAAACCGGGAGGGGAAAAAAAAACCACCACAGTATATGCGCCTAACTGCAACTCCCAAAGGAGAAGTAGCCCAGATGCTCCCATCTGCCACCCAAGTCGGAGCTGGACAGGGAGGCATGGGCTGCATGCTTAGGCTAAGGACTGGGCCAGAATGCCCAGGACAATCTGAGGGAGCAAACGTGAGATAGCAACCCAAACTGTGGGATGGCCAGCAAGAGAAAAAAAAAAAGAAAGACAGAGAACTTTCCCACATAAAGCTCTAACCTAAGGCTCAGCCTGGCCTGCTCACAGAACAAAGGGTTGAGCAAATACCAAAGGAGAGCTAGCGGGCTGCAGACCGGCCCATCACCCTCACTGGAGGCAGAGAGGCAGGTGGGCAACAGCCAGAGCCAGAAGGCAAAGGGCAATCTCAGCCCCAGAGGGGGAATACTGCACCAAACTGTGAGCAGGCTCCCAGTTGTTAACCACGTCTTCCTGGGATCCTGGGCAGTTGATATCCTCCAGGAGGGTTGCAGCCTGAGATCAGCTACCCAGAGGAGACACACAGCACACCTGAGACAGTGCTGTCGCGGCGCACCTGGGAAACCAAGCAGCCAGGACCAGGGAGGTGATTAAGATGCACGGCCCACGTGGGACAGTGAGCTGGCCAAGTACCTAGTCACCTGAGCTGCTCGGATCTGGGAAGGGCATCACACGCACACCATACTGAGTCTGTGCCTTTGTGGAGTGCGCGAGAACCTGAACCTGAGCAGCTTATACCTGGGAAGTGCATGAAAGGCAGGGCCGACTTTGGACAGTACACCCAGCAGAGCAACTTGAAGCCTGAGCAGTGTAGATCAGGAAAGCACACGCCTCCGTGAGCTGGGGCAAACCCAGTGTGGTCCCTATACTGCGAGCACTCCCCACACAAGCCAGTGATATTTGCTTGCAGTATTCCTCCCTCCCCACAACACAACTGAACAAGTGAGCCTAAATGAGTGACCACCTTCGCCCCCTTGTGTCAGGGTGGAAATTAGACACTGAAGAGACTTGCAGACAGAGGAAGCCAAAATAAACAAAGAGGGGGGAACCCTTTTGGAAGTGACAGATGCAACAGATTAAAACCCTGTACTTAGCATTGACTAATTGACTAATGCTGGAAGGGGCCTATAGAACTTGAGAAAAAATATAAGCTGGAACAAGGAACTATCTGAAACTGAACTGACCCCACACTGCCCTCAACAGCTCCAGAGAAATTCCTAGATATATTTTTACTATTATCATTTTTTAATTTTTAAGTTCTTTCTTACTCCTTTAATTTTCATTTTTTATAACCTACTATTACCTTGCAAAAAAACCCCTATTTTAAAGAAAATTTCATATATATTTTTATAATTTTTGTGATTGATTTTGTTTTGTATTTTTAATATTATATGTCTGAGAGTCTAACCTCCACGCTAGATTTTTAATCTTTGCTTTTTCATATTTGTTATCAATTTTGTACCTTTAAGAATCTAATCTTCAGTACCCGTTTTTGCTTAGAGGTGTGATTACCAGGACCTCACTGTGGCTCAGATCATGAACTCCTTATTGCAAAATTCAGACTTAAATTGAAAAAAGTAGGGAAAACCACTAAACCATTCAGGTACGACTTAAATGAAATCCCTAATGATTATACAATGGAAGGGAGAAATAGATTTAAGGGACCAGATCTGATAGAAAGATTGCCTGATGAATTATGGATGGAGGTTCATGACATTGTACAGGAGACAGGGATCAAGACCATCCCCAAGAAAAAGAACTGCAAAAAAGCAAAATGGCTGTCTGAGGAGGCCTTACAAATAGCTGTAAAAAGAAGAGAAGCAAAAAGCAAAGGAGAAAAGGAAAGATATTCCCATTTGAATACAGAGTTCCAAAGACTAGCAAGGAGAGATAAGAAAGTCTTCCTCAGTGATCAATGCAAAGAAATAGAGGAAAACAATAGAATGGGAAAGACTAGAGATCTCTTCAAGAAAATTAGAGATACCAAGGGACCATTTCATGTGAAGATGGGCACAAAAGGACAGAAATGGTATGGACCTAACAGAAGCAAAAGATATTAAAAAGACATGGCAAGAATACACAGAAGAACTGTATAAAAATGATCTTCACGACCCAGATAATCATGATGGTGTGATCACTCACCTAGAACCAGACATCCTGGAATGTGATTCAAGTGGGCCTTAGGAAGCATCACTACAAACAAAGCAAGTGGAGGCGATGGAATTCCAGTTGAGCTATTTCAAATCCTAAAAGATGATGCTGTGAAAGTGCTACACTCAAGACACCAGAAAATTTGGAAAACTCAGCAGTGGCCACAGGACTGGAAAAGGCCAGTTTTCATTCCAATCCCAAAGAAAGGCAATGCCAAAGAATGCTCAAACTACCACACAACTGCACTCATCTCACATGCTAATAAAGTAATGCTCAAAATTCTCCAAACCAGGCTTCAACAATACGTGAACCATGAACTTCCATATGTTCAAGCTGGTTTTAGATAAGGCAGGGGAGGCAGAGATCAAATTGCCAGCATCTGCTGGATCATCGAAAAAGCAAGAGAGTTCCAGAAGAACATCTATTTCTGCTTTATTGACTATGCCAAAGCCTTTGACTGTCTGAAGCACAACAAACTGTGGAAAATTCTTCAAGAGATGGGAATACCAAACCACCTCACCTGCCTCTTGAGAAATCTGTATGCAGGTCATGAAGCAACAGTTAAAACCAGACATGGAACAACAGACTGGTTCCAAATAGGAAAATGAGTACATTAAGGCTGTATATTGTCACCCTGCTTATTTAACTTATATGCAGAGTACATCATGAGAAACTCTGGGCTGGATGAAACACAAACTGGAATCAAGATTTCTGGGAGAAATATCAATAACCTCAGATATGCAGATAACACCACCCTTATGGCAGAAAGTGAAGAAGAGCTAAAGAGCCCTTTGATGAAAGTGAAAGAGGAGAGTGAAAAAGCTGGCTTAAAGCTCAACATTCAGAAAACAAAGATCACGGCATCCAGTCCCATCACTTCATGGCAGATAGATGGAGAAACAGTGGAAACAGTGGCTGACTTTATTTTGGGGGGCTCCAAAATCACTGCAGATGGTGACTGCAGCCATGAAATGAAAAGACGCTGGCTCCTTGGAAGTAAAGCCATGACCAACCTAGACAGCATTTTAAAAAGCAGAGACACTACTTTGCCAACAAAGATCTTTCTAGTCAAAGGTATGGTTTTTCCCGTGGTCATGTATGGATGTGAGAGTTGGACTATAAAAGAAAGCTGAGTGCCAAAGAATTGATGCTTTTGAAATGTGGTGTTGGAGAAGACTCTTGAAAGTCTCTTGGACTGCAAGGAGGTCCAACCAGTCCATCCTAAAGGAAATCAGTCCTGAATGTTCATTGGAAGGACTGATGTTGAAGCTGAAACTCCAATACTTTGGCCACCTGATGCAAAGAACTGACTCATTTGAAAAGAACCTGATGCTGGGAAAGATTGAAGGCAGGAAGAAAAGGGGACAACAGAGGATGAGATGGTTGGATGGCATCACTGACTCAGTGGGCATGAGTTTGAGTAAAGTCCAGGAGTTGGTGATGGACAGGGAGGCCTGGCGTGCTGCAGTCCATGGGGCTGCAAAGAGTCGGACACTACTGAGTGACTGAACTGAACTGAACTGTGATTACTGGCTTGATTGCTCTCTCCCCTTTTGATTCTCCCTTTTCTCCCCCAGATCACCTCTATCTCCTCATTCCCCTTTCTCTTCTCTACTTAACATCGTGAATGTCTCTGGGTGTCTGGGCTGTGGAGAACACTTAGGGAACTGATTACTGGCTAGATTCGTCTCTCACCTTTTGACTCCCCTTCTTCTCCTCTTGGTCACCTCTATCTCCCTCCTCCCTCTTCTCTTCTCCATGTAACCCTATGAACCTCTCTGGGTGCCCCTCTCTGTGGAGATCTTTTCACCATTAACCTAGATATTTTATTATCTGTGCTGTATGGATGGAGAAGTCTTGAGGCTACTGTAAGAGTAAGACTGAAAGCCAGAGGTAGGAGGCTTAAATCCAAAACTTGAGAACACCAGAAAACTCCTGACTCCAGGGAACATTAATTGACAAGAGCTCATCCAAAAGCCTCCATACCTACACTGAAACCAAGCTCCACCCAAGAGCCAAGAAGTTCCAGAGCAAGACATACCATG